TACAAAGCATTCGATTTCATTGACAATAGTCAAACTACATAACATTCTACGGCGAAAGTACAAATTTGAGATCGATTTTAAGCTGTCGTTATTCATATGCCCACATACATACATTTGTTACTTTTCATATCAATTCAACTGTATTACATGCGCCCCACGCTTTTCATTTTCAATGTCATTAATTGTTTATAATGACTTTTGCTAAAATTTCAAAATCAAAAGTTATCAAAACAAATTCTGTGGGACTGAGAAATATTATTTTCTACTCTTTATAAAAGCGTTGTATATTAAACAGTTTTATTTTATTTTATTTTATTTATTTTCTACTTTTTAGTCTTGTCTGTACAAAATTTTGCAATAGATATTAAAATAATTCAACTTGCAGTGAAAGAGAACAGAAGACTATGTGTTTGCTCACACTTAGTATAAACATACATATGTACATACATACATATAGCAGTAGTTTATTTCATTTAAAGAAATGGCGTGTCGTCCATTTCCGCTGTGACGTATATAAATAGTGCATATATTTAGGCGCAATATTTAACTTCTTCTGGCTGGGCGACATCTACCTCTAGAGTTTTTCTAATTGTATGTCTTTGATATGATACCTACGACGAGGTTGATATCTAGACTAGGTTTGCCATAAATACCTTTGCTATAATTATAGTATAAAATGGTGGTCCGGACATACAACATTGCAAGTTGATAAAAGCGTTGTATTTTCTTAGGTATTTTCTTAACAGCGGTCGTCCCTTGGCAGGCAATGGCAAACCTCCGAGTGTATTTCTGCCATGAAAAACAGCTTCTCATAAAAATACAATCGCCGTTCGGAGTCGGCACAAAACTGTAGGTCCCTCCGCGTTGTGTGACAACATCAAGGCGCACGCCACAAGTCGGAGGAGAAGCTCGGCCAAACACTAACATATGTGTAAGCGCCAATCTATTATTATTATTATTATTAGTTCCGAAATGATACTGAAATATCGGTCGGGAAACATTCCCGAAATGATAACGAACTAGTCCCGAAACGGTCCTGAATAGGCACCGAAACGGAGGAAAAATCCCTGAGCCCAAAGTGGACCTAAAATAGTCATGAACTAACCCCAAAATGATTTCAAACGAGGGCTGAAATCTTCCTAAAAAGGCCTGAACATAACTCGAAATGGACCCGAACCAGTGCCAAAGTGCTCCTCAAATAATTGTGAACTAGTCCTGAAATAGTACAGAACAGGTTCCGAAATGATCCCGAACTGGTCCTAAACTAGGCGCAACAAGTGTAAAAAGGGGTCTGAAATAGCAGATTGTCTCCAACTCGCCTTTAAAAATGCTTGGCACTCGTGCTTATGGGGTGGCCAACTCTGTTCTAAAAGCTCCATCGGTTAATCTACTGATGGGCATAGCCACGCATAATCATTCTTGGCGGAGTTTACAGATACGTTTCGCAAAGTAAATTATTTTTGTCAGCATTTCAGTAAATTTGATGACCCATTTAATGGCTTTACAAGTCGAGAACAGCTTTGGGTTTTTGCTTAACGCCAACAATGTTTAGCGCATAGCATTGCAAAAATTAAGCTACCAAAACTCGAAATGCATATTGGATTTTTTGCAACCAAATTTGGTAATTTTTTTTCTTATGCAATTGAATTGTAAACGGAAACTTAACCAAAGAGACACAGTGGAATTTTTGCTCGCCGTTGAGCAGGCAACGCACGCACCAGTCGCCAGGTAAGCGCGCGACTTGCTTGCTATGCTACTTGTAATTTTATCGAACTGCATTTTTTGTCTTCATTCACAAACGGTATGGTCGGTTGAAACACGCGCATGCGTAAGTGAGAGTTTTTTTTTCGTGGCAACGATTGACCGATACGTATAACCTTTTTGATTGTAAAAACAACAGTAATAAAATGGTAAACGTTAATTTGTATCGTCATAGCGCGAACGTGCGTGTTTCTCATGTTAAAAGAAAAAAAAAAGTTTAAGCCGGCGGTGCTGGTAAATTTCTTGTATCGAACGTGCCAAAATTGTTTCTTTCTTGCTTAAGGCTCCGTTATGCACACTTGGCATTGCTTAAAAGTTGTCACATCAGGAATCTGTTAAATGAACTTCGCGCGTAAGCGGTTAGCCAACACACAGTATTACATACGTAAAAGTCTGTTGGTTTTTGATTTCTACGTAAAAATGGTATAGCAGTGCATGCAATGCCAAGTATGCATAACACAGCCTTTAGACTGCTTATGCTGTATTGAGATGGCAGATCAGCTTTGTCTGACAATTAAGGCGGGTTCACCGTTCGTGTCCGGACAACTTTATATTTGCTCTCAAAACATTTTTGCCGGAGAGGGTGATGATGTACGGTTCGCCATTCAGTCCGGCACAATTGATTTTGTTCTGAAGCAAACAGCTGATGATATTGTTGCCTACATACGATTTTGAGGGCAAATAATATATGCAATTCGCTGCAAACGCATACAAAGGAGAACGCGGCAACCTGCATCATCCAGTCGTTCGGACAGAAAATCAAAATCAATTTGATTCGAACAAAGAGTGTTCAGCACATTTTTGTCGCTCTCTCAGTGAGACAGAGTGGGAAAGGAACGCGTAAAATTACTAACAAAAAGTGTCCGGACACGAACGATGAATCCGCCTTTAGAAATGTAAAACATGTTGCGAGTGGCTGAATACCCCAAAGTGCACACTACAGTAGGCTAAACTATTCGCATTTCGCCTGCCATTCGAACTTATTTTAATACCAATCTCATAACTACAAGAGAAAGGTTGATCTGCAGCATTGCCTTAGGCAATTAAAAGAAAAGAAATTACGGAGGATCATGGGCAAGCTTAGCGGAGAATGAGAATGTATGCGCTACATATTGGTGTTCCCATAATGAACCCAGATCTCTCTACTATCTTTGAGAAGCGGCCATCCGAGAAGCAGTTCGAAGGCGTCTGATTAAGGTCCAGTTCTGCGATTCGACAGTAAGGACTTCGAATAGTCTATGAATCGTTGTTGTCTCGCTCAAATAAAGGTAGGCCCCGGAAACTACATAAATGATGGCCACAGGCATGAATAACTACGTCGCGATTGAATTTGGTTAAGTAGGAGCCTAGGCTGCGACAGTATCCAGATCTGAATTGCGCCAGAGCTACGTGGGCATCCCCAGGCAGCAGATGAAGGTTTTCGTTTGAGATGGATGCTAATTGAACTTAAGTGGTTGCGCGATATATGCCTGGAACTCGTTAGCAGATATCAGTTCTGACGTGTCTAGGAGGTGGTTTAGCTGCTAACAGCTGCTAGTTCGGGTGTTAGCAACCGAGCAGAAACTGCGTGTCGCAAACGAAATGACGTTCCCTATAAGGGATAGGTATTTTCCTTGACTCCAAACATACGTGGATGTGCAACGTAGAGGAAAGAGCAAAGGCGGCACCTCTGTATAATATTAACGGTATGCACACAACAGTTATCCGACCCAAGGCACATTAAACAGGTAGTATCAGTAGAGCAAAAACAACATTTGCGTGTATTTTGTTGTTGCTTCTGCTATCGAAAGTGTCAAAAACTGTTCTGAATGTTTTCTTCTAAATCAAAGCGTGCCATGTGAAATACAAAAAATTTTAAAAAATAAAAAATTGAAATTGGAAAAAATAAAAATTGATGCAACTTTCTTTCCTAGTAAATTTGTTTGCTTCTCGAAGCATTGATCCATCCTTTGCAAGGCCCAGTAATCAACGGTCGTGCTGCTGAGTTGGGCGAACGTTCCAAAAGCTGCTATTCAATCGCTTGTTTTGTATGGAAAAAGGTTTCACATGCAAATGGATTTTAACAATTCAGAATTTTTGTGAAAAAAAAATTAAAAATATTTGACATTTTCGAGACCAAATAATTTGAAAATAAATCAAATCAGCTGCTCTACTGATACTACCTGTTCAATGTACCTTGATCCGACCGATGTTAATTTATGGAGAGCTGGTATGGTGAAAAACTCTGGCGAAAGGGCAGATAAGGCAATCGTATCACCTGTCTGATAATTGTCAGGGAACGTCGCTATATTCGTTGACATTCGGCCGGCATTGAAAACGTTAGCCTGCAAGGTGGTGAGTCGAAAGTAGTTCGGAAATGTCGCGTATTGCTGGCTTCATTGAGTCAAGTGAAAACCTCCATCTGCTGGGTGTCTGGCTATAGCAATAGTGAAGAGAACGAAATAGCCGACGGAATGGCTAAACACGGCTCGAAAATGCAGATTAGCGAGAAGAAACCCTTCAAAAAATGGGACTAATCCGGGATGACTCTGGGAGCAATCGCAAAGGAGCATGCGACTAATACCACTTTTGATCTCTTTATATGGAATGAACTGTTCGCTTTTGTTCGAGCATGTCCTATGAAGATACTAATTGTTCACCTTTATACCCGAACGGGTATAAAAAGCGACTAGTCACTTTTAAAAAATAAAAATAAAAATTTGCGCCAGCTGAGATTCGAACCGGGGTGCTCAGTTTTGTTAGGCGAATACTCTCTCTGCGAGCCAGCGCCGCACATGAAATTCCATTGACTAAGTGCGTACATATCATTAAGTCGTTAATAGTACCCGTTAAAGATGAGTTGGGGACTAATTGATCTCCAATTATACCCATAAGGGATGAGTCGAGACCAATTGATCTCCATTAGTACCCGTATGAGACTAGTTGCGACTAATTAATGCCCAACTGTACCCGATTGAGAGTAATCTCGGAATACTCTCTTTAGAGATTAGTCGCACAATTTTTTGCAGGGAATATTAAACCGTGTATTTTGCTGAATTAGTGTGTATTAGTACAACAGCAGCAGCAGAGATTATACGCTTCATAACGGAATCCATTAGCCATATATTATTACAAATATTATTTCAGTATTTTTAACTGGTAGCTCTTATCATTTCCGCAGTTCTGAGAATTTTACAGAAATTTTATTTTATTTATGGAGCAGAAATTTTTTTATTATTTAACCCATGATAAAAACACATGATGGAATAAAGAAAGGTGTTATACGTTCGCTTTCTTCTTGCTCTAATCGCCATCTTGAACTCCCTTAGAAATTTCAATTTGCCGCTTTGACAAAGTACTTTTTATATCAGAGCGATTTTCATGAAAAAGTATTAAAAATGGTACTCACACAAGCAAAAGCATAGATCGACATGCATTGGCATCACTGATCGCCTTTTTCGTCTTTGCTTTTATCTCTGTTTCGTTGACAATCGGAGTTAAAATTAATTTTTATTAGATAAAATAAAAAATTCCGCATTTAGAATTTTTTTTTTGGAAAAGAATTGCTCAAATCGTAAGTATCATGATAAAAACATAACAAGGTAAAACCATTGAGAGGCAGTCTGACGTTTGCCAACAATATAATTTTAAAATCATAACTCAAACTCACACACACATTCTCATTTTCAATCTCAAACAACAACAATTGTGTACAATTTAATTTTTTTATTTTCAATTTTATATTAAAATGTTGGCAAACGTCAGAACAAAATCATGGCCGACGAATTGAGAGAATGAATTTACCTTGTAATGTTTTTATCATGGTAAGTATTTTATGTATATCCGATAAAGAAACTATAAATAAAACTATTCCAAAGGTGTTTTGCTGTTTTGTGTGCCCGTGCATTCCATCAACTTGATCGGCTGCCTCTTGCCAGCATTGTTTGAATTACTGCGAAACCATCGCTGCACTCGTAAGTACTTTTGCAAAATTTAATTAAGCAGCTATTAACGATTTTTTTTCATAAGTTTTCACTTGCTTTGGTTCGCTGCCTGTGTACACCTTGGTGCCAGCTGCGGACTGTGGACCAACTTTTCGTGGCCGTGTGACTCTCGCATCGTCACAATGTGTCTTCCGCTTCTCTGTCTGTGGGACCACTGCATCGTAGGTTTCTTCTGCTGCTCCACACGTAAGTACTGTTGCAATACCAGTTGGAGCAAATATTAATGGAATTATTTCACAGGTTTTCGACTGCTTCGTGTTCCTTTGTTC